ATGGGGCAGGATAGATCTGCTCAGTTGGGCCCATTAGAAAGAACTAGTCTCAGTCACTGGACCTCCTACACCTGATGATAGAAATGGATTCAGTTTCTAAAACATGTATATCATACATAACAGAGACAATGAAAAGTGTTGAATACAATATTTGCATAATGAATCAGCTGTTGCCACAAAGCTTTAAAGAATAATTTTGTCATATTACATCAGTAATTACATTGTGTTCCATTCTTCTCATGTTATATACGTTTTTGGTTTGTATGCAGGCAGTGGAGGAGATCCAGACTGGCTGTGGATGCAGCAAAGACCAAGCAATTCAGGAGATGCGGGAGCTGAACAGACACCTAATAGAATTGGAGAAGATGCTTGCTGCTGAACGCAATAACATGGTGCATCTACACGAGATTAGGGCACTACTATCTGCACAGATGCATGCCACTAAGGTGTGTACATATCCTTTTTCCCTAAACACAATGTTCTTTCTTAGTCTGGCCAGTCAACTGAATTCGAAATCATTCACAGTTGTATTAACATATAACCTGTGAACCACAGCTGAGTAGATAGCACTCCTGTTTTGTATTTGGTAGGTCTCAGGTTCATATTTCAACCAAAAAAATGGCTATTTCGATTGATTTTCAAGATCACACACTTCACTGAGACCAAATATGGCATAGAAATAATCATACATCCTCACAACTTCAACTGTGAGGACAGACACAAACTGAATAGAGATTTGTCACACCTCTTTTCCTCCAAATGTTCTTAACCACAGGGCTCCTCCCCTTTTTAAAGACAACACTCTATACTCCTACCATTATTTCCATTGTGAAATGCAGACTGATATATATATATATTGTCACGTGTTGGGTGTATAACGTGACAAATAACTTCACACCATCTTGGATATAGCGAATTTATTCCACTTGTTCTTACAATTACACAATTTCACAAACACTGCCATGTGCAGTATCACACTTACTTCTCCTGCTGGAGTCACTGCCATTCACTCAATACAACTCAATAACAATGAACTTCAACTCACTCCGGCAAATGCTAGACTGCAACTGACGGGTTACTCCCTCTCACTGACAAATACTCCTGTTATGTAGCTTCCGCACTAAAAACACAGAAAACAGTTACATGATAGCTACCACTGTTGCGTAAGTGCCGTGTTTACAGGCATTGCTGGGGAACGCTGCTGAGAGTTGTTTATTGCTACGTAGTAAACGTGGTGTCCCCTGTTATGTCACCACGGGGGAGGTGGACGGAGTGTTGACTGGCCTGTTACTGTAGCAGTGGCAGTTGCTCCAATGATGTTATGTCACCACTGGAAAGGGGAGGGAGAGTTTACTGAGCATTGCGCCTTCCACATCACAATATATATATCAGTCTGCATTCTCCTTCCACCTCATTCACCATGACAATGGTGACTGAATTACACACCAAAATGCAGGAACAACTTCAATCCATGACATGTCTGAACTCCGAAAGCCAAGAATATATATTATCCTAAGGTTTTCCATGGTTTTTCTCAGTCTCTCCAGGCCAGTGCCAGAATGGTATCCCAAATTAGGCCAAGATCATTTCCTACCACATCCTTTTTCAATTCATTATTCACTGTTAATCCTGTCATTCAAGTCTATATAATATGAGGTGTTTAGAAAGTCATTAAATACATATTGTCATAGGTATGAGTGTGATTATATGCAGGGTTTGGATTGGTAATTGGATCTGTTGGACTCTTTGTTACAGTGCATGACTACACTTTAAAATTCACTATTACACAAGCACTCTAGTGTCCAGTCACATCTTCACTAGCTGTTGCTCATTAGGGACTTTTAATGACAGTCGTTCCCCTTTTTCTGGGATCGCAAACTGTCCCCAGCCTCAGCCACCAGCGTGTCACAGGAACAGCTCACAACAACTGAACCAGAGCAGTTCCCTGACTGATTAATTCAGTCACTCAACCACCAACTTTCTCAACTCAACAAACTCTCTCCACTAACTGTCCTGCTTATAACATCTCAGCACGGACCACACAGAAAACACCATTCCTCATTGTCGTAGTTCAATTTTTGCCATGGAAACATGCTTGTTTGCAAAGATGTTACTCAGTAATGGCTGGTATATATTTGCTTATCTTACAGTCGTTGCCCAGCAACGGGTCTGCATGCCACAATATATTGTACCCAATTAGCATAATTATATTTCACATGCAGAGGAGGGAAAATTTAGTTTATTTCAAAAGTTTAATCTTCTGTTCTATGTTAAGCACAGAAATTCAGGGCTATTTAGCATAACGAATGACTAGTTTTCTTGCATAATACCAAACCCAGAAAGTTCGTGACAGTGGCTGTTACGATGTACACAATATTTTGGGAGTTGGTTCAACGTCTGTACTCGAATGATTTGTTGTAATTAGTATACTGTTTGACTTCGCTCAGTATAATGATATTTATAATGAGTACAAGAGCTGAAAGTGAAGAGGAGGAGACAAAACGCAAATAATAGAGAACACCAGATGTCTGTTGTAAAGGGAGCCAAGATGCTTAGAGGACTGTGCAGCCAAGGAGTTTTTTCTTTTTTTAATTCACTTAGTGGGGAGTGGAGTCCAGCCGGGTTCAATCAGCACGGCGGCCACTGATTGGCCTATTGTACCTGCCCCAGGTGATTATGATGATGGAGAATTTGGTGGAATGAAGATTGGCAGGGGAAACCGAAGTACTCGGAGAAAACCTGCCCCAGTTCCACTTCGTCCATCACAAATCCCACTTGACCAGACCCGGGATCGAACTCGAGCCGCTGCGGTGGGAAGCCAGCGACTAACCGCTTGTGCTATGACGCGGCCCAGCCAAGGAGTTAGTATGTAGTATAATGGCAGTCACACATTTGAATCAGATAATTAATATTATATTTAAGCATCCTGTTGCACTCTATACGATATATGACATAAACACCGTCCAAGTGCAACAATTTATTGTAGTTCTTTTGTCTTGCCCTCTTCTACACTACATGTTTCGGTCGCAAACAGCCATCATCAGGTGTATGCACTTACATAGCTGTTACACTGCATCTAGTTTAAAATTGCAAACCATAAGTCTTCACAATTGTTCTTTTCGTCGTTACCAACAGGTTTCGATTTATCAGAATCTACTTCGCTGATATCTGTCTGCTTTGTGCATTATCTTTGTTGCCCACACTCGTCAATTTTGATATTATGAATCGGCACTTTTAAAATCTTCAGTTCTAATTTAAAATTATTTTAAAAATTAAAATTCTGTAGTCTGTAGTCTGTGTCTGTAGTGCTGCAGCGGCTACTTCCTGTTTTCAGCACTGTTATTCTGTGTAGGCTTCCTGTGTGGGCTCCCTGTGTGTGGCACACATAGTAAAGATAAGCAGCGGCCGCACACAGGGAGCCCACACAGGGAGCCTACACAGAATAACAGTGCTGAAAACAGGAAGTAGTTGCTGCAGCACTACAGACATAGGGCAAGTAACCCTGAGAATTTTAATTTTTAAAAGAATTATTTAGAAAGTACATATTCGTCTGGTGAATAATGTACTTTTTAAATAATTTTATGAAAGACACAAGATGGCAAACAATGTAATAGCTTAGCGTAAATAACGAACCTGAAGATGGCACTATGTTGCCGAAACATGTAGTAAGAAGTGAGAAATTTAGTGCACTACAAGACGGCCATTACATACATATCATGGATGAAAATCAGTGCAACAGGACGCTAAAATACAACATTTTAGATCTTATTTGCATTTTTCTTGATGGGCATTATGCAGTAATGTTACTAATGGTTCTACACTGTCCTAATTATGGCAGTGCGGTCTGATGGAGGAACGAGTCAGCAAGGACTCACTATCACATAAAACAGCTCGCCTCAACCACCTGAAAGCACGACTGTCATATTCACGTGCCCACTACCGCTCTCAGCTGGCTGATGCTCGTCATATGCTAGGCTCCCGAAATGCCAAGGTGAACCAACTAAGGTCAGCTCTAGTCAAAGTCAAGGATCTGTGTCACTCCATTGATAGCAGCTACCGGGTGAGTGGAACCACATATGAACTTTACTTACAGCTTCCAAGTTTTCATTGAGTCAAGCAGTTACACTTGTTTTCTGGAGGTGCATGATTCGAATCTCAACTGGGACTCTGACTATGGCTTTGCTTAATCTTCCTCATCTTGTTGTGGCAGTTCATGGGATAGTACCTTAAATTAGGCCACAAATACCTCCTTACACATTCTTTTTAACTCATTATGCACTTTTTTACCTAACATTTGATGCTATGTAGTGTGAGATATTGACAGAGTTGTTAAACCATATATATATAAATTTAACGTTGATGGCACTAAAGGTAATGTCTCTTATTCAGACAATGCTGTCGGAAATTGGGAACCAGGTCCAGCTGATAGCAGAGATGGTAGCAAGAAACTATCACTTGGAGTGGTCACAGGGACCTATAGTTGCTATACCAACTGCAGCAGATTTGAAAGAATGGTACCAGCACATATGGCACACTACCAGATGGATCCAGTTGCATATTCCTTTACACCAACGTGAGTCATACTACTGGATGGCCCAGATGTCATGTTCCACAGAGATTCTGAATAATATAACGATAAATCATAATATGTGTTTCAATTGTCAGCCATTATCTTCGCAGCCCTTTTGTATTCAGTCAACACAGTATTAGAACTGCCTCAAGACATTGACATAGACACTGATATTTAATTCCTCGCCATTCCTTGGTTGTTGCTTATAGACAACAGACTTTACATGCCCCCATAGGAAGAATTAGACTGGCGTGAGGTCTGGTGATGAATGTGGCCATTCACTGGGATCTGGCTGTCAAATCCAATTATGTTAAAAATTATGTAGTTTATACAGATCCCTATGTGGCACATCTTTTTGTCTACTCTGTATATGACAAACAAGGAGAGAGCACTGGGCTTTGTATAGAAACAAGAACAGAACAATTTACCCTATTTCAGATTGCAGATACATTCTTTGTGAACAGCAGTGTATTCTGGTATGTTACACCATGTACAGAGCCCGGAGAGTACCAATAGCAGTAGGCGGAGTACAGAAGGGAAGAGGAAGGACAACCTTCAAGTGGGTGGGAGGACAGACAAAGCACTGTCTGGGGCCAGAGGCAGATTATGGAGGGAGATGAAGAAAACAAGGTGGAGGAGGAAGGAAGGAAGGAAGGAAGGAGACCATATAGGGTAGAGTGGTGCCATGAAAAGGGCAGAATCAGTGCCCCCAAAAGGGCGTCTAATGGCCTGGTTGGAGAACTCCATATGAAAGAACTTACAACACTTCCTACATTCTGAAACGCTGGTAATTTTCTACCAGGCTATACAGCATCAACTCTCAGAAATATTACTCTTCATAATCGTTACCATGAGAACCTCAAATCTCACACATTCTCTGTGATTTTACATATATATACATGGTGCAGTGGTGTGTCTGCCATAGTTCTCCTGCACCACCAATGACTGCTTTAATATCAATTCTGGAATATAGTATCTAAAAATTCTGACATGTTTTTAGGTGAAATAGTTAAGGCAAGGAAATGAAAGGCATTGACTGAAAGAAACATGTTTTTTCTGACTGTGAACTTTCTCAATAAGATAATGGCAAGTATATTTGCTATCTGAAGAAAGTGAACACACACTGAATGGATGAAATTTCACTAGTTTGCTGCATGGTTGATTGATTTGCTTCAGAGGATACACCACAGTGAACATGATCACTGAAAAGAAAACAGAGATAAATGGAATATTTTCACATGTCAAGAAACTGATGAATTAATCTTTTGTTATTGAACAGCCAAGAGCATTGATATAAAATATTTTGAACCCAAAATGTAGCTTTAACTGTATATGAAATATGCATTTTCAGCAAAAAATTAGATGGCCTGTACTATTAATTCTTTTAGCGTACTATAACTGGTTTTAAAAATGAGAACTTGTGTAATATCAGTATGAGTCACCAAATTTTATCAATCAATTCAGCTCAAGCAGTAATGCTTGTGAGTTGTATTTCATATATTCCAAGGGGAAAATTTAACTTTTTATGATCTATGTAGTTTTTGAGAAATATTTTTTTTTTTTCACAGTGTGTGTACAACAGTCTTCTCTAGCTGAAGTCAATCAACACAGCCGAACCAGCAGTGCACATCCAAATCTGACCTCCCTGCCCCTGTATGATGTGAAGACAGATACGTCTAGTCCCCATATTGCTGATAACAGTTCAGACTTCTCCTTTGACTTGGAGCTCAGGTTGGACATGAGCAACACAATGCAACCAACTGCTATATGTAGCACAGATCTCGACAGCACAACATGTTCCAGCCTCAGTCAGGACTTGAGTTGGCAACATGAAGCAACACAAGACAGACACCAGATGCAACACAGGTGAGTGTTAAATCAGTATTTTAAAATGGATTACAGGTAACCCTCAACTCATATGACAGTTACATTCACAAGAGTAGCTATGTAACACAGAATCAAGCAGTGCAAATTTTGTGTTACTCCTGTGGTTTCACTGCACAATCTGTTGGGCTTGAAGTTTTTCGGTATAGGGAAATACATTGTGGCCCAATCTTATTTCTGTAAAAATCAACATCTAATGAAAACATAATATGTCATTGCCACCAAGACACTCGACAGATCCTAGTAGTGCAGAGCATGTTATTGAAGCAACCAGATATCACCACCTTCTCTGACGAACAGTCAGAATTCTCTCATGCCACATACTGACCACACTGGGTTGAAGTACTTGTATTAAAACTTCCACAGCCAAAGAGACTAGCCCATTGTTAATCAGTTAATACCACATTTCTGCCAATAGATGACATAAAGTGTTAAATACTGATCTTCAGAGGAAAGAACAGGATCTCACATACACCCATATCAGTGTTCATTTGAAGGTCATTTGAGGGAGTATTGTGGGTTTTCTGTACATCTGCATATACCCCCAGGTGGCCTTTGCATTTCTGGCAGGTGGTTCTTGATGGGGCTTCGCAGTTGAGGGGTAAGCTGGTCCTCAGTCCAGCTAAGCTTTAAATGAAACTATTCCACAAACCAAAACCAGAAGTTTTAATTTTAAAATAACTTGATAAATAAATTAGCTTTAATACTTTAGCCATTTACAGATCTTAATTAGTTTGTTTTATACTAATAATTTCATTGTTTTTTAAGCTTCACTAAAAAATTAAACTTAAAAAACTCATATGTAACCATGTTAACACTGAAATCTGAATGAGTCAAAATAACGTTAGTTGAGGAATACTTATATTAATGAAGTTTACATTAAAATAATTACATTTTCGGTTTTAACAAAATCATTCACAATTAATCAAGTAGTACAGTGTCATTCAGTATTATGTAATTCAGTTTTTGTCATAAACAGAATTCCTGTCATTGTATGTTTACAATTGTAATTGAAATCACCGTCCAGTCAACCCTTTATGGATCAATATTGGATTGTGATGAGAGACCATACAAAATGGCAAGTATCTTTTCCTGTCACTTTTCCTTTATTCGTTTCCTTTTTCAGATTTCTAACAATCCTGGACAATCTGAAAGAGAAGTTACTTCAGCTGAAACCCAGCAGCATTCACTGACCTTATGATACAACAGTGAAGCATCCTATGATACAAGTATTAAGTTTGGTAAATCAGAAACCAATTAGGTAATTTCAAATGATCTCCGATATTTTCTGCAAATTAAAGATGTATTTCAGGGTTTTTCTCATATATCAGGAATGCATAGTCCTTTCTTTGTTAACACCAAACCCCCCCCATCATCCGACATTAGCCCGTTCCCATCCTGTCAGAAATCCTGCTTTGCAGCATAACTGTTGGAAGCACGCGTTGAGCCACCAACTTGAAACTTTATTGCCACATTCATGTACTGTGTTTTATATTACTGTTGTTTACATACTTTAACATCACTTCCAGTAGTTCATATATGGAAGGACCAGATAGTATTTTTTTTTGTATCAAAATGCGTTTTTTCCAACTTGTGCAGAAATTAGAGTGGAAATGAACAGAATGAGAAAGAATTAAGGTCTTTTTGTTGGGTCACTTCTTGATCCTGTATTTAGAATGAAGGTGTCACTATAAAGCAAACAGACTTAAAGGCAGGCATGAAAGATTTAGACTGTTGTCTTCTGGGTTATGACACCAAGTAGTCTGATAGATAGCTACCAATGTTCTGGCAGAACTGTCTGTCTCCATCTTCTGCTCTGAAGACAGAAGCAGTGTGTTTCTTCAAAACTGCATAATGAACAACTTCATAATTTGCATCCATGATATGTATACAGTTGCCATCTTGTAGTGCACTCAGTTTCACCTGTTACTTCACGACATGTTTCGGCAAAATAGTGCCATCATCAGGTGCCCTAATTACGTTAATCTATTGCATTGCTTGCCCTCATATGTCTTCACAACACCATTTAAAAAGTATTTAAAAAGTGCATATTTGTCAACTATAATAAATTTACACTCACTAAAACTTGTTAAGATTATTCATCTTATATGTCTTAATTAAAACTTGCGTGTGGTTCATTCGCTATGGGGTCGTTTTTCTTATTTTCTGTGTAAACCGTGTCTTGTGATTAAGACATATAAGATGAATAATCTTAACAAGGTTAATAGAAAGTCCATCGAGTGTAACAATTTGTAGGTCACTTTTTATTATTATTTCTGCCTTACATGTTTCGGTTTGACACAACCATCATCAGAGGCACTTGCTATAATTATGGAAACAGTGTCGCTTTTTTCGATGTTCACAATTATGTTTGTCGTGTGGACGCTGCTACGATATGTTGACGTGTAACG